ATAACCATAATAATATCCAAAAATATATTACGAAAATCATAGATTGATAACTACTATAAGCATAAAGAATAGCATTGAGCTGGGTTTTATCATTAATTAATTGCAATTTGCAATTACATAATTTTTTTTTAAATACAAGCGATTAGAAGAGGGGAGTTTATACAAATATTCATTGAGTATCTGGGCAAGTGGATTAAGATATTCAAAGTGAAGATGTCATTTTGATTTTACCTTTAAAAAAAATAATGTTGGGGTAGGTCTGTTCTGTTCCGCATAAGTTTGGGGTTTGGATGAGTTAATTATTTGTTTAACTCACTATTATCTGTAATCAAGTTGGGTTTGACTGGATAAGGAAAGGGGTGCAGAGAGCATATTATATTTTGTGAAATGCCTCAACCATGTGCGATGCTCTCTTCTTTTTTATTTATTTATTTATTCTAGAGACAGCATGAATTGGTGGTTGAGTGGGGCCCTATAAACAATGCCTCTCTTCCAATGAAATTTGGAATCTTCTTTGTGTACAAATTTGGTCCTATCTAGGCCCATAATTGTTAGGAAAAACAATCATCCTAAACACTAAAATTGAAGTACCATTTTAGGAAAAAAGACCCAAAAAACAAAATAATTGACTCATTTTAAAGCTTGAAGGGCAACATTTAGCCACACAACAATGCTCATGTGTCAAGTTTGTTTCTTTGTTTGTTGGTAGCCTTCTACCACAATTGTTCATAATTTTGACCAAATCCAAATTTCTTGTTTGCTCCACCAACCCCTATTTTGGTTCATTTTTAACATCATCATATAAACACCTATGAATTATTCTCATATATTTGGTCCATTAATTTTTCGGGCCAACGATCCACTACTAGCAACACTGATATTATTCATAACTTAACAACCCACAAAGCTCAGTAAATATGAGGTCTCATAACAAAAGACATCGATAATATTAGGCCAATGATCCACTACTAGCAACACTGATATTATTCATAACTTAACCACCCACAAAGCCCAGTAAATGTGAGGTCTCATCACAAAAGACATCGATAATATTAGTAGTGGAATCATTCATTTTATGTTGTGTTTTATTTAGTCAGATTTTCGATATAAGACTTATATTCCTACATAATTCTTCAAATTATCATAATTAATTAAAGCTTCATTTCCCAATGAGTTCAAGCCAAATGACATGGAGGAGGTGGTGTGATAAATTGGTAAGCTTTAAATCAAAATCCAATCCCATGTCAAATTTTGTTTTTGCAAGATATTTGTTGGAGAGAGATGCTAAAGAGACAGAATAAACCACGAAACGAAATGGTAAAAAAGTAAACGGACTATTAGATCACACGTGGCGAACGCAGTCCCAAAGCCCGAAACTTTACAGCCTTTACACACCGTCCGTTCCACGATCCACATGTAGCCACCTCATCCCTGTCGTCTCCCGCGTATATATATAAAACCTCACCCGCAGACTGCTCTTCATCTTTTTTATTCGCTCCTTTTCTCCGAATCGTACGGCCTCAGATCCATAGCCGTCCAGAAAAAAGCAGAGACCAAAAAACGTCGTCGTCGTCGCAGTGGTCGGTGAAGATGGCTGGCACGTGCTCCACCGTCGAGCCTGCGGGGGCCGGAGAGATCATGCTCTTCGGCGTGCGCGTGGTGGTCGACTCCATGAGGAAGAGCGTGAGTTTGAACAATCTCTCGCAGTACGAGCAGCCTCAAGAGGGCTCCAACAACAACAGCGGCAATAACAACATCACCGGCAAGGATGACGTGGCCGGTTACACCTCCGAGAACGACGTCGTTCACAATTCTGGCGGAAGTCGCGAGCGCGAACGCAAGCGAGGTCAGTCTCTCTCTCTCTATCTCTCTCTTTCTCTCTGATCGCTGATAATCTCTGATCAACCACTCTACACTGAAATTTTAGTCAATTGCGCCTTTTGTATTCATTTTATCAAAAAGGGAACAAATTTGATTAAATGTTCTGATCATCGTTGACAAAATTTGCATTCTTTACCAAAAAAATAAATCTGAAATTTTTGTCAATTGTTACATTGGATGTCCTAAATTCATGAAATTACTAATTCTGTTTTTCTATGTTAATTCAAATTCATTTAAGAAAAGAAAATTGATATGAAATGAGTTAATTTTGTTTGAAAAATTGTGAATTTATTATTTATATGGATGGTGATAGGGGTTCCATGGACGGAGGAAGAGCACAAGCTATTCCTGCTAGGGTTGCAGAAAGTGGGGAAGGGCGATTGGAGAGGGATCTCTAGAAACTTCGTGAAGACTCGCACACCCACTCAGGTCGCTAGCCACGCTCAGAAATACTTTCTACGCCGAAACAACCACAATCGCCGCCGCCGCAGATCTAGCCTCTTCGATATCACCACAGATACGGTAATAATTCAGTTCCCTCTAATTTCAGAGCAACTCAATCCAATTCATGTATTTGATCTGACAAGTAGCTTTGCAGTCATTTAAAGTGTGGATCTAGCAGTTTTTTCAAAAGTAGTTGTTTATATGGATCTGGCAAGTAGGTCTTTTGGAGTTGAGGATACAAGGGCCTTATCGTTTGAAATATATGCAACATTTGAACTTTATATCCCTATCCAATTTTCTTAGCAATCAGAGTCTTGAGAGAGCATAAGATTATTTACTTGGTGATCTGTTCAAGTTTGGGATTACTTTTATTTGCTCAGGAAATTTTGGAACATAAAACGAAATTTGATGAAGAATGCTATGTGTTTTAATGGTCGTCTTCTTATGAACTGAAACAAAAGAAGTCAAATTGTTGATTTGTAATTTCTTTGAAGTGGATGTTATTGTTTTGTTTGTCTAATTAGTTGGTTCATGCAATTTTTCACAACCACCAAAAGCAAAAGTAAGCTTTATCTTATCGTGATAACTCCTTTTCTGTGTGTTAGGTCACTGCAACTCCAATGGATGAAGAGCAAGCACATCATCAAGATAACACATCTCAATCACATCCATTGCCTCCTCCACCACCATCTGAGGCTTGCAATCCTAGTGGATTTTCGATGGTGCCAAATTTTCCATTGACTGTAGGTCCGGCTGTCTTGCCAGTTCCCATTGAGAATCCAATGGGAAATCTAACCTTGGGACACACAAATCTTGAGAATAATGCTTCGGCTAGGCTTGTCCGTCCAATTGCCCTTCATTCGGCCCCTCATGCTACAGCAATGTCTGATCTAAACTTGAAGTCGACAATGGACACGTCGACTCTAACTCTCGACCTCTCCTTGTCAATGGACCCGAGGGAATCGTCATCAAGGCATTCGGCTTTCCAGGCAATGCCAAGCTTCAGCAATGGGGATAGCATTATTAGTGTTGCTTGAGAGTGTGCTGATTTGTGGAAATGGTTTATAATTAGGGCAAATGGGTGAGATAAAGCGATCCCAAATCCCAAATTTGACAATGGATTAGAGAGGGCAAGGTAATTAGGTGACTGAATTTGTTCCTTTTAGTTTGTTGTACAGACCCCCCACCCCCCCCCAAGATAATGTAATGTCCTGTTCTTCTTGTTCTGTGGTATTATCTCACCGATTCTCCTTTTTTTCATTTGGCTTTTTTTGTTAGCGGCTGATATAACTGGAAAATAACTGGTACAGTTTACAGTGTTTTGATTGCTGATTTTGGTACCCTGGTGGGCCTGGTCAGAAGTCACAAGTGGTTTACATGTCTTTGTGAGGAAACAAATATCAAGTTGGGTTTTGGTGGGGTAGCATTTCCTTGCCCTTTCTTTATTCTGGATGGACAAAATTAATTGTGTGATTGTCATTGAATCTGGCCCTCAATAATGGATCGTGATTGTTGCAACAAACGTTTTAATATTAACACGTGTTTGGGACATTGATAATGCCTTATCTGAGTGGCCTAAAGGGGTTTAAAGGAATCGACTTTATGCGGTGTCTTTGGCCGACTTTTGCCACTCTGTTAGTTTGGGGTTTTAATTGGGCAGAGAAATGGTTGCTTTCATTCCCACTTTTTGACTAGGATGAGATGACAGAAACTTTAATTATAATTAGGATGGCTCAACCTTAGTGTTGAGAAGTGAGTGTGCTTATGACCTGTGAGTGTTCAAAGTAAGAGCTTGATTGGGACTGATTTCTGACAATGAGAAGTGATTCTGACTCTGAGGCACTAATAGTGTTTTTGGGAAGCGCTTTCTCTAAAAGCACTTGAATTTAGAATAGAAGTTTCAATGCTCTTGTGAGAAAAAGTTGGGGTGAAATTGTGTGTTAAAGCCAAGACAATTGACCTCTTGTATCAATTGGGTAAAGTGTGATGCCAAGAGTGCATCTGTACACATGATACATGCATCGAATTGAGGGAACCTTCTAGTATATATACACATTATTGATATATAGAATGATTGAATCTTAATAATATAAGAAATAAAATAATGTACAAGTCCAATTCTACAATTGACAATTTCTATTAAAAACTCAACAGAGTGCAATTTAACACTGGTGTTGTGACCACTGACCACCTTGCCTTGGTATATAAGTAAGACCAAATTACGATTTTCCCCCACTGATTTGTTGACTATTTCTCACTCCCTCAGGTCACTGAAGAATAGCGATCCGAAGATTGGCCTTTTCAAAAGCTATGCGTTTTCGTCGCAATTCCGACCCACATCATTCTTGTTGGTCGTCATCTTATCAGACAACTTATTCAGATTCACATTCTTTCCCAACAACACAACAGTTTCAAGTGAAGATTTTAGCACAAGTATGTCTAGAGATTAATATTGGAAAGTATATTGTGAGAGAATCATTTCTTAAAAATCTCCGAAACTAATTAAGAACTTTTGTAACTTTGGAGCCTTGTAAAATTGAAAGAAGTTCACACAAGAATTCAACATCTTATATAAGTCAATGAGGAGGAGAAACCAGATGAACCACAAGTGGAAGTACTCCAAGAAATTTTCCAAATATAACAAGACATGAAATTATTTATTAAGTGAGAATAGAATAAAATGTACACTTGAGATGATGTTAAACATATTCTAAACTCAACACTTACATCGTTACTTGACGGCAATTTGGAATGGGGGCTTCATTCAAATCGTCTTCACTTCATTTAGTTCTCCTTCTTTTTTCCTTTAACACTCTAGTCTAGCAGCAGCCTTCAGTTTATGCAGACGAAAGCCACGGGTTAGGTGCCACGTAAGTATATCCCTGGAAATGCTCACTCGCTGTTGGTGTGGGAGCTGGTGAGTCGTCCAGAGGCATTGTAGTCCAGCACCGATCGAAGTTGGCTGTGCAGTCTTTTCCACTCACATCCGGCTTGAACTTTGGGAGCAGTTCTCTGGCCTCCAACTTCTTCCAGTTGATTGATCGAAACCATTTATGACTTTTGATATTATCACCTCCATTAGGCCCACTCCCCAACCTTTGTAACGGATCCTTTTGTAGCAACTGCACAATTGAAGAAGAATCTTCCATTGGTTAGCTAGCTGTTCATTTGACAAAATGAAAAATAAAAGGGAGAAAAGATCATATGGAAGAATATACATACTCCTCTGAGCAAGGAGTGAGCTTCACTGGTAAGATAAGGTGGAAGTTTAACTTTCTCTTTGATGATTCTCTCCTGGAGTTTCTTTCTATTCGCATGCATAAATGGTGGCTGCAGGAAAGGGGCAAAACAATTTTTGAACAAACAGTCAATATTGGTAATTTAAAGACTTTAAATTATAGCCATCTTGATCATTTAAAACAGTATAATGGTATCAACTAATGAATTTACAGAAGTATGCTAGCCCACTATAACTTGTAATAGTTTTGCTTTCTTGCATGAATGTTTCAAGTTAACGACGTGCCCTGCCTATGAATCGATGTTGATGGAGCCTAAAAGCCTAATTAGAAGAAAATTAGAGGACCTAACAATGGGCAGAGTTCAACAAGCTTCTATTTCGTCAATAAACATACCTTTGAAAAACTCATAATTTTGAATGTGCAATCTGAGAGGACCATTAGACAATTACGAGTTTAAATCACAAAATTGCATTGGATACGTCTATTGTTTTACCTGCCCACTTAGCATCTCATACAAAAGTATACCAATGCTCCACCAATCTGCATCTTTGTTATGGCCTTTAGACAGCAATATTTCAGGAGCCATGTATTCTGTGGTCCCACACATTGAATTTGATCTGCTGGCTTCATCAATTTCCTTTGCTAGTCCAAAATCAGTTAGCATGACCTGCATCACAGGTATCCATTTCAGCAAAAGTAGAAGTCCCAGCGAGAAAAGGATAATCTGACTACCATGCATGTTCCTACAACAAATGGTAAGTAAATGAGCATGGCCATTACATGCCCGTCAGAATCCACAAGAACATTTTCAGGTTTAAGGTCCCGATGCACGATCCCGCACTTGTGAAGATGTGCAACAGCAGATACTATCTCAGCAGTATACAGTCTTGCTTGATCCTCGCTACTCAAGAAACATCCCAAAGACGAAATCAAAACAAATGGACATATACATTGAGTATAAATTTCTAATAATACAAAGAAAAATTACCTAAAGATTCCCTGCCGGTACAAGTGAAAGAAGAGATGCCCTCCATTTATAAAATCCATGATCAAATAAAGCTTAGAGTTGGTCTGCAAAGCCAAAGTCAACATACAAGCTTAAGAGCATACTAGTATACAATGAAATTCACATAAAATGGTTCACAGCCAATGAAATCACATAAGATGGTAAGCAATCAAAGAGAGCACATCTGATACATAAAACAGACAAGATTTTTGGTACAAAAAGAGAACAAATTTCAATAACCCAGCAAGAGTTCAGAGCTGAAAATTAATGGGAAGGACCAGTTTTTCTACTATGCAAACTTAATTTCATCAAATTCACTAAATTAACTAAAATTCACAAAAAGGGTACCTGGAAAGAGTAGCGAAGCTGGACAATAAAAGGGTGCACAACCTTAGTGAGGATGTCTCTCTCAGCTTTCATATAATCCACATGGTTCTTCTTTATAATTGTGTCTTTTCTCATAACCTTCATAGCATAAAGCCCATCACTTTCGTTGTTGTTACTGTCATCGTTGCCCTTCTTTCTCACTTGAAAGACCTTCCCAAACGCGCCCTTACCCACAACTCTGAGCATCTCAAAATCCGCAGGCCCAAACTTACGAGCTCTCTCTTTGACTGCGAGCTCGGTCTTTTCCGATTCCCCATCATTCCGATTATCAGTTCCGTCTGGGTTTTCGGATTCGTCTTCGTCGCTCTGGGAATCGAGGAATTCGGCGGTGAAAGGGAGGGAGGAAGATGGAGCGAAGCGCGGGGAGGGGCCCACGAAGGAGTGAGAGCGGTTGTGGATGACCAGTGGAGCCGGAGGGAGCGACGTGGCGGAGGTTGATTGGTCATTGGGGGTGGCAGTGGTGGGGCCGAAGAGGTCGTTAAAGTCGAAGTCTTGAGGTGGAGAGGAGGACGAAGAAGAAGAGGAAGGCGGGATAGTGAGGTTGCTGAGCTTTGCGGCGAGCAGAGAGTGGAGGCTCTTCTTCTGAGACGACGACACCATGTTTCTTTCTTCAAGCTCTCTCTCTCTGCTTCTACATGATGAGAGAGAGAGAGAGAGAATGGTAAGCTGAGCTGAGTGTGCGTGAGGTTGTCAGCCGAGTCAGTGAAACGAAGATGACGTTAACATAACTGACTGCTATTGGCAACGCGCCATTTGATATTGTGAACGGCATTTCCCATCAGCTCCCGCTACTACACGTCGTTTGGTTTATACGACATCGACCGTTCAACTTTTTTTTTTAAATATAATTAAAATCGACCGTTCGACTTTAAGGTTTCAAAAACGAATAGTAACGACATGTCCCTTCCCTTCTTATCTACAACTATGGTGGTATTGGTATTTCGGATTGGATCCAAATTATCTATAGGGTTGGATTGAAATATAAAGGAGAGAGTTCATAATAAGTTTTCTTTTGGAGTGCTAATAAAATCTGATTTAATTAACTTTTTAATTCATGACATGTTTGATAATGAGCCAAAATTTCCTTTTACAAGACTACAATCAATGATGATCTTATGCCCCTACAATCAATGATGATCTTATGCAAGGGGCTTACAGTTTAAGCGGTCAAGAGCATGTATGAGTTCCTATGGTTGAATCACTCATTTTCCAAATATCATTTGTATAAATAAAAAATTCAATTATCATCCTAGGTAGGTGTACAAACAGCGACGTCATCTACAAGGGCTATGAAAGCGGTGCCTCTTGTATGATAGTCGTCACAGAATTAGGTTGTAGTTATAGCTTTGAACTTTGATCATGAGTTGCAGCATGCGTGGGCTTTGCATTCTTCTTCTTGGAAAAAGAGGAAAGGGAATGGCATTTGTGTTGTGGTGTGTGTGTGAGAGCTTAAATCCTGTACAACACCTCATGCCACCGCCGACAAGGGCCCCGGCTAGGCCACGGCTGCTTATTGGATTCAAAATATATAATCATGTGCTTATACCCTCTTCATCTTTTCTCAGAATCGCAAACGAATTGACAAATGATGTGTGACTTGAACAATGCATCTGTCTGGATCACAATATATGAATCAAATTAAGAAAGCTTTCAATTCAATATAGTTTGTACAGCAGCCACTATGCCCACCACTACCCACAGCTTCCAGTCCAATATATCCGACAACATGAAAGGATGAATTTGGAAAACTACGACTAAAGAATAATAATAATGCCTACAACTTTTCTTTCCCTTCATTAATCTACAACTCTATACCATGTCATCCTACCCCCAAAAAATGACAATGCCAAGGAAACCACTCAAATACAGAAAACGACATCTCTGAGATATCCTCTCCCACCCATGTGGAGAAGAAGGGCATTGAATCTCCTTAAAAATTGGAGAATCAAAGTCAAATACTGACAAAAAATATGAGATAAATTACACGCGTAAACAACTCATTTTACCGACAGGTGAGGCGAGGCCCCCCAAGCAAAATGGCCACTCTATGACAGATTCATCTCTCATCCTTTATGATACAGGTGCTATGTTCAACTCAAGTGGCCTCAAAGATCCTTGAACAATCTCCATAACTGTTCGGTTACGCCGGCAAACTTCTGATAACTCCTCAACTAGAGCAGAGACGGCATTAACATTAACCCCAGACGCAGCATCTGACAATGCTTTTAAGAATCTTGAGCGCTCAAACTCCGTCACAGCTGTCAAAGGAATTAATGAAACACTCTCCTTGGCCCACTCCACTGACTGTGGCCCATAAGCTCGACATAGTGAAAGTAGTGTGTAGCGTACCTGCGCAATGGGAGCTAAGTGAAATTCCAGACACATACCATCATCACTCATTAGGTAAACAGTGAGAGTGTTAGTGTGCAGATTGAGAATACAAGTAAAATTATACCAATTCTAGTCGAGAGCTTGGAAGTGCTCCTGTTAATGAAGCAATCAAAATTCTTGTAATGCTGGGTCCTCGAGGAATAATTACAGCATTCCTGATGGGTAAGTATTGTTCTACCTCAGTAGAGTTTGCAAGATCAAAGATATCAGTTAAGAAGGTCAATATTGAATTTGATGCCTCTCTGCAAAGAAGAGAAATACAAAGTTAAAGAGCCATTGCTCATAAAAGGCCTCAACCAAGACATTTGACATCAAACACAGAAAGAAGCGCCTATGTTGTTAAAGACACAATAGCACCATATATAAAACCCCAGTTGATTTGATACATGCATCTTTTTCCATGCACATGCAGGGTTGACATTTCTGTAAAATTATGGACCCACTTGTAAAACATCTCTCACAAATTATGGAAAACTCTTTGAATTTCCAAACTCATATTCATTCAATGTTATGTAAATGAATCCGTGCTTCTTTATTTGCTAGGTAACCTTTAGATGTTAACTGGAAAGCATGGAAGGTTGTGAAATAAGAGGCCGTGCTATCATGTAAATGAGGCTATCATCTATCACTGACATTCTGTTACAGCCAAAGATAATAAAACATTCGACCTTGACACCACAGAGAGAGAGAGAGTTACAATACCTGTGCTGCACTGTAATTCCAATCATTGAGCAATCCACTAATGATGGAAATACCGCAGATGGAATAAACAACTGAGGACAATACCGAATGCATCTTGATGCCAACAAAAAACAATCATCTGCTATATCAGGTCTGGCAGTAAATTCCTGAAATAATTGATAAGTTAACTACAAAAACAGTAACATTTGAAACAAATTTCAATTACAGCTAAATGAAACCTTACCTGAATGCTCGTGAGAAGATGTGTTGTGTGCATAAAGAGTGCTTCAATCAGACTTTTCAAATAATTTGCACAAGATGGATCAGAACCAAATATCTGCAGCATAAGAAGCAACAAATGCACCAATTTAAGTTTATAGTAAACAATAAAACAAAAAATAACTAAAAGAACATTGATTTTTTTTCTTCCAGGATAGCTTACTTTTATAACTTCACTAGAGAGATAGAGGAAGCATGGTTGGTGATGCTGTTGATATAAACCTTGAATCTCTTCTAGCATAGCTCCAATTGTAAATCCCATGCACCTTCCAGAAGTCCTCACCTAAGGAAAATGAAAGTCTCATTACCGCCTAGTGACAGATTCTTTTAACTTCATCATTTCCAGACGGGCAATGATAAGATCAGAAAGGTTCGAATAAAACAGCATTGCCAGAGCAAAACATTCATATAGCTCACACCGAACCACCAATGACAGGAAAACAGAACACTATTGATACAAATTCTTCCTCTTATCATATAAGGCAATAGGAAAAGTTTTGAAGACCAAACAAGATGCCACGGGAAAAAAGACAGGTATCACAGTTGAATCACATAACTAAACACACTGGATTCAATGTATAAATTTAGCAAAAAACCTCTATAGTAGCTTTAACAAATTCAGATTTAACATTTTAGAAGGGGGATCAGTGAACTCACAGCGTATTTGCATGCTCGGCACAGAGACTCCATTGTCCGCACGTCCCAAGCACGACTTCACCAGAAACATTCAAAAAATGGATTAGAATAAGGAAAGGAGATTAAGATATATGAGTATGGAAATCTGTTACACCGCAAGTAATGTTCAGCAAGAAATGTAGGAACACTTACAGATCAAATATGGCTTTAAATATTGGCCAAAGTCTTTGGATTGCATCTGCCACAGCTTCTGCATGATTTACATATCTGGAATTGATATTTACTAGCATGTTAGCACATCTGAACAAAATAAAAAGAAATAAGGGGCATAACAACAAGAAGTTGATCATACCTAAAGATATACCCAAATCTATCAATGTGAACTGTTAAATCACGAGCAGGCTTGCTATTTAATGTGTCTGGGCCTTGGCTAACAACTTCCTGGTTGTTGACAGCATTAATTCAGTATCATCACCTACAGAAGAATTTATATGTACACTTTCTTCTGGAAATGAAACACACCTGTAAAGGAGTAACGACGGGCAAGCACAAGGCCTCCAAAGCCCTCTTAGCATGGTCAGGTGGAAGTTCAGTAATGACCTTGCTGCAGACGAGTGTTCAGTAGATGTTCAGATCATCAACAGCATGGTGCAAAACTAGATTGATCACACAATGTCAGAACATGCAGAAGATAGTTTACCTTAAAGCTTCAACTAGATGCAACGAGTCCTCAGCAGAGACCTTAAAACTACCTTCACCATTCACTGCCCTATGGTATATATGGAAGAGTCCATCCAAACATCCACAGAGCTTTAACCGGCAATCTGCATTCAAATATGAGGCATTCACAGAGCTTATTAACCGAGGCCGACCAGGTTAGAAAGACAAACTACCATGAATTTTTTCTTCTTAAACTAATGAGATTTTGTACCGTCACAAATCTGCCTAAATGCTACAGCTGCAGCTGCTGCAGAATCTTCTGAAACACCCATGCCACTCATGAGGACATCTAGAACTGAAGGCAGTATGGACGGTCCGCCAGGTGCAGCATCAAGCCATTTTGAATAAGCTCCAATTGTCAAGCACACTGAACACTCTCCATATGCAGGTGACATGCATTAGTATATTAGACATAAGAGTGGTGAAATAATATAGAAAAAGTATAACTTCTATTTGATCCTGCCCTCTTACAACACAAGGGGAGAGGGTCATAACTGAACCATCCATGACAGAAGAACTATAACTATTAAAAATACATTACCTGTCTGAAGTAGTTGAGGATGTTGAGGTAGTTTTAGAAGCCTATCCATAACCTGTTCACAAAAAAAAAATATAATATATAAAAAAACCCAAAAAAGAGTGAGTATTATGAGATCATACCTTGTGAATTACTTCATTCTCAACTACTATATAGGACAATAGTAAAATTCAAATTGATGTAGAAAAAATTTGGACAACATCATACCTTCGGCATTACTTCAGCTTCAACTGCTGAAACATAACTTGATATAGCTCGGATGCCGAATAAAGCAGCTTCGGCTGGGCGCCATTCACTTTTTTCATTTTGACAGCAAGCTGCAGCCTTAATAATATGAAAATATCATGTTCAAACTGTAGTAGAAAGATGACAAAAGGAATCTTACATAACAAAAACTGAAAAGTATTATAGAAGAACCATCCTCAAAATCATGTAATATATCATCTTTGAAACTGCTAAAGCAGTAAAGGATCACTC